TAAAAAAAAAAAAAAAAAAAAAACAGATTCCTGGGCCCATTTTCATCTACTCCCCTCTTGGGGAGATGCCCAGGAACCTAGATTTTCACATGTTCACCAAGTGGTTCCAAGATATACTTAAAGTTTGAGAGACATTATTCTAGATTTACCCACCCAACAAGTTGTCAGGTCTCTGGTTATGGTTACTGGTTCAAAAATTAATCTTAGAAACAGTATCCAAAAAAGCCACAGATGGAACTCATAAACCCTATACTACAGAAACCTCCATGGAAAATCTTGTCTCTGGTCTCATTGTCTTTCACTGTGTTTTTACATGGGTATCATTTGTTTGGTCAAGTGGTCTATATTGCTATCTGTTCTCCAATTTTGTTTTATTGGTGTTTTACCATAGATTCTGAATGAGACCACAAATGAAAAAAAGATGGAGTGCTTATTAATATATTTTTTAACCTCCTATACAAAGGTTAACATTAAACCAATGAGGTTTTCCAGCCTTTTGTTTTGTTTTGTTTTGAGACAGTGTGTCTTACTATGTAGTTCAGGCTGGCCTTGAAGTCACCATGTAGCCTAGGCTGGCTTCTAACTTGTGGGCAATCCTGCCTCAGCCACCCAAGTGCTGTGATTATAGGCATGTGCCACCACGCCTGGTGTGGTTCTCCAGTCTATGAAAAAATGGAAGAGTTCTATTCTAAACTGTTGCACAAGCCCATGGTGTATCCTAGGGCTTAGTACAGTATTACTCTTCTGATTTCTTTTCCTCCACTATAAAGAAAATGGTAGAACTAAAGAAAGATAAACTTGGGTCATTCCTAAGTAAATGGATGCAACTTGAGAGCATAATGTTAATTGAAATAAGTCAGACACAAATTTGGCTCCAATATCACATGATTTCTCTTATATGAGAAACATACACACAAATTACAGTAATGCCTAGGTTCACAAACACTCTGGTTGCAAACAATTCAGTTTGCAACCAGGAGTGTTCAGCAAAATTTTGCTTATGTTCCCAAACTCCTCATTGGGTGACAAACACAACCACAGCCACCTTCCCCATGCAAACACAAATGCAGCTGTCTTCCCCCAAATCATACAATGAACTAAGTTCATAAACCGAGGTACCACTGTATGTATATATTCCCACACACAAAAAGCAAAATAGAAGAGACATAACTAGGTGCCTGAGACCCCTGTAGTCAGGTTCCAGCACCTACCTGCCCAGTATGTGATGAAGGCCTGAGAAAAAGAATACCCTAAGAGAGAAAACTGAGTGCCGGGACAACCAATGCTGGTGTAACCAACAAAGGCACTGATTAGTCCCAGGCACCGGCTTTTATTGGCAATCAATTGGGGTAAAGGTGAAGTGTGGTTTCTATGGAGATTAATGTAAACAAGGCTCAGGACAAAACAAAGCATTCTTGAATTAGAAACAGAATAGACAAAATATATGGTTTTAATTAGAACATTGTCTTGTAAGGAGGTTTTAGTTGTGCAAACTGAATTTGGGTGGGAGTTACTCTGACCTCTGCATGTAGGCTTGGGCTGGACTCACTTCTGAAAACAAACCAATTGTGGGGTTCATTCTTCACAGCCTGATTTGGGCATAATCATTATCACAGTCCTCTGCAAATAGGAAGTAGGGAAGAGTTTCAAATACTTCCCCATTACACTAAAAATGTTTTGTTTATTATCTGTTTCTTTTTTTGTAAGAATCTTTTTGGTTTATGTCTTGTATTCTGAGTAACTACTTTGAAGATAAGGGTACATGTTTGAAGATAAGGGTACATACAAACTTGTTATTCTCATAGGAAATTTTGTTTTATTTTTTCATAAAATAAAAAAGTTAAACGAAGAATTGCTTCAAGTTTACTAAAAATGTTTTGTTTATTATCTGTTTCTTTTTTTGTAAGAATCTTTTTGGTTTATGTCTTGTATTCTGAGTAACTACTTTGAAGATAAGGGTACATGTTTGAAGATAAGGGTACATACAAACTTGTTATTCTCATAGGAAATTTTGTTTTATTTTTTCATAAAATAAAAAAGTTAAACGAAGAATTGCTTCAAGTTTATACCAGATGAGATGCACTGAAACTGTCTTATTCTTTACATAATAGAAAAAGGGTGACTAAGACTTATCTCAAAATAAGGAAAAAGAAGTCTTGGCAACTAGAATCAATCTGTCAACAACTCTTGCTTCTTTTAGTAGAAAAAAAACATTATTCAGAGGTATTTAATAGAGTCCATGTCCTTTGTACACTAAACTACTATAAAAGCCTAATGTAAAAGCTCTTAGTACCATTTTGGACCCCAAACTGGGTCCTTTTTCCCTCTTGGAATTGCAGATCATTAGATACGACCAAATCCCAGTTGAACAATAAAGAAAGGTTTATTCTTGGCCAAAGAGTAGGAGAAGTTGGGAGAAAAGCTCACAAGTCAGTTTCATTGGGGGTGGAAAAGTCAAAGATCTAGGATAAGGGAAATGAAGGAGAGGGACAGGTTAGTAAAGAGGAAGAACATTCTGGGAAAGGGCAGAGATCTTCCAGGAATTTGGGTCCCATCTCTTTGGGCCTACACTTGCCCACTCCCCCACTTCCCTCCCCCACCCCTTTCCCTCTTCATCCTCATATGGCAACTGACAACTGTCATGGTACTGGTCTCTGTCCTTTAGCATGCAGTTAAAGGCTGTCAGGTGATCGCTCTGGCAGCCATGCATGTTGGATCCAACCAGTTTTGGTTAGCCCACCTAAACAGGGCCTTCTGCTCTTCAAGAATCTTGTCCTCCAAGATAAGCAAGATTAGGATAGAGTACAAATTAGGTCATGTAGGCAGCATAAGACGAGGGCAGGCTCACATTCTTACTACCTCTAAATTCCCCACCACATACCCCAAGCCAGACACTGCCAGATTTCCAAACTCCTTGCCATCATCATGTAAATGTATGTAAGGAATGAACATTTTTAAAGTGCTGTGTCAAAAAAAATTTTTTTAGGTGCAGAGAGAAATGGAACTGTTTCATGTCTTAGTGTGTTTTCTGTTGTTGTAA